CCGGCCCGGCTCTCATTCAAGCCGCCTTCCCTTCCCCCTATCGCCAGCCCCACGCGGTCCGGCCGACTCCGGCCGGCCGCGGCTCCCGTCTCCCCACCGTCCCCCGGGGCTTCCGCAGCCAGCCCCAGCCCCTGGGACGCCAGCGTGCCGAGATGGGAGGAAAGGCGGGCGCCCGTTACCTCAGCTCCCCCGGGTTGAATCGCTCGCCTTCCCCTCCGTCCCCGCCACGCTCCGCCATTACAGACTGTCGCGTTCATCCACCCGCCGACTCGGCGTCCCCAATTGGTCCGAAGAGTCGTCAATCCCACACCCAGGAGGTGGGACTACCCGGAATCTATAAGATGATTGGGGAAGCTAGCCATCAATCTTAACGCTAGGCCGGCATTTGCTTGACTATTGGGCAAAGGGCCCGCCGACTTTGAAAGCGGTATTGAGACTGTCAGTTGATTGGCCGCTCGTAGGCTTCATGGGAAATGAGACAGTGGCAAGAAGGAATAGGTGGCGCCCTCTGGCGGAAAGAAAAGCTAGGTCCTCCCGAGTACAGCCCTGCCAAATGCAGCCACGTGTCTGCGCGGCTGGCTAGGGCCAGATGTGGAGCCATATTGGCCACTAATAGCTCAGACTGAGAGCTTGTGCGTTCTTTGGGCCAATCGAAATCGACCTGGGGCGTACCTGAACCAATTACCAGGTTGCAGGGGAAAGCGGTATTTCTCGCCCTTGCAGTTTACAAGAGGCGTAAGTCACTATGGTGTGTTTGCTTGTTCTGAAATAATTACAAGCATTAATTACAACGGGAAGGTATTCCAGTTTGTCTACTCAACAGCAGGCGGCATGTTATATAATTTACTGCATTAAAGTAAGTAAATTAGAGAAGGGAAGCCTCTGCTATTTACCATTTTAGGATTTCTCCTTCACTCTCAAAATAAAGCTGTCTAAATCAGCACGGCCTGATGCCAGAAGTAATTATAAGTATGCTATATGTTTAACTTTAAAAAAAAAATCGGACCCAGGGATTGCAATAGCATAGTGAAAATGACCACTGTCATTACTGAATTCAAATTAATAATAAATTTTACACAGACCTAATATATGTGCTATGCCCTATTCTAAATACGGGCCATGCATTGTTTCCTTTAGACTTTGAAATCCACTGACAGGTAAGTACAAATACTCATAATTTATAGGTGAGAATAAGACACAGTTGTTAAATTACTTGCTCAACATATGCAGCTAGTAAGTGATACGTCTTGGCCTTAAACCGAAGGCAGCGTGACATCAAAGTCCCACTGTGGTCCAAAGTGATTCTACCAACTCAAAACCTTGTTCTCTCATGGCCCTTGTACCATTATTCACAATGCTGAAAAAGGAGATGGCATCCCTCAGCTGGTACATAGCTTTAAAATAGCCCTATGATGTGCTGTAGGAATTCCTACCATTCCTACCTCCAGTACCATTTAAGTTACCCACCCACTTGGGCGTGGCCTCTTATACTATTTATGCCCTTGTAAAGCAGGCATCCGCCCACTTTTCTGGCTGCAGGATTTGGTTCCTGTTCCTCGTTCGAGCAGAGGACTGAGATCTGTGAGTCTACCCCTAAATAAATAACCCTCTATTAGACTCAATTCTGAGCTAGTGTGGGATTTCTTTTAAGCATCCTTTTTCAATAATGGAGTATTTTTCAGATTGAAATACCTAAAAAAAAAAAAAGGACGTTGAAAGCAGTATACTAAATTAAAGAAACCAGACACAAAAGGTCACTGCTGTATTGCTCTATTTATATGAAATGTCCAGAATAGGCAACTCAAGAGAAAGATTCAGTTATTGTAAGGAAGTGAATTTGAGGAACTGAAAATGTCCACTAATGGGTTTCTTTTTATATGATGAAAATGTTATGGGATTAAATCGTGGTTATGGTTGCACAGTATTTTTATTTTATTTTTTAAAAAAGAAAACACTGGGCTGGAGAGATGGCTCAGAGGTTGAGGGCATTGCCTGCTCTTCCAAAGGTCTTGAGTTCAATTCCCAGCAACCACATGATGGCTCACAACCATCTGTAATGGTGCCCTCTTCTGGCCTGCAGGCATACACACACAGACAGAATATTGTATACATTATAAATAAATAAGTAAATAAATAAATGTTAAAAAATAATAATAAAAAAACACTATCTTTTTTCATTTTACATATCAATTCTAGTTCCAACTTCCTCCCCTCCTCCCATTCCCTCCTCTCTCCCCCACCTCACCCCCCAATCCACTCCCAGAGAGGGTAAGGCACATTGCATTGGGGTAGGTCCAAGGCCCTCTCTACTGTATCTAGGCTGAGCAAGATATCCATCCAAAAAGAATGGGTTCCCCAGAAGCCCGTACTGTGCTGATAATTTTATGTCAACTTGACCAACAAGCTAAAGTCATCTGAGAGGAGGGAACCTGAATTAAGAAAATGCCTCAGGGCTGGAGATGGTTTAGTGGTTGAGAGCACTGGCTGCTCTTCTAGAGAAGATTCTATTGCCAGCACCCACATGGCAGCTCACAACTGCCATGTAGCTCTAGTTCCAGGGGATCTGACACCCTTATGCAGCATGCATGCAGGCAAAAACACCAATGCACATGGAATAAAAATAAATCATTTTAAAAACACTCATCCATGACGGGCTGGTGAGATGTCTCAGCAGGTCAGGATGCTTGTTGTCAAGCCCACGACCTGAGTCCTGGCCTCAGGACCCACACGGTGAAACGGAGGGAGCCAACTCCTGATGGACTGTTTTCTAGTCTCCATATGCAGGCCATGGCATGCCGCCTACTGCCCAGATAAATAAATGTAAAAGAATAATCCTCCACTATAGACAGCTGTGTGTTTGTCAACTATGTCCCCCTCTCCATATCTTCCCTGCCCCTCCTTTCTGCTCCCTCCTTGAGGATTTTGAAGCTAATCTGCATATGTTTTTGCACCTACGTCAGTGGTTCTCAACCTGCAGGTCTCGGCCCTTTGGGGTTGCACACCAGAGCCACATTATGATTCATAACAACAGCAAAGCTACAGTTATGAAGTATCAGTGAAGTCATTTCATGGTTGGGATCAGCACAGCATGAGGAACTGAATTAATAGGCTGCAGCATTAGGAAGGCTGAGAACTACTGAGTAATTTTTGTGTCAACTAGAAACTATTATTAATTTGCTCATTGAACTATTTGTTGCCTTGAACTGAGCTACATTCAGGGGAATGGCTTTAAACAACATGAACATGTCCCTACTCTGAGTCTGTATCCACCTGCTGGTTGGACTTACTTCTGAGTGACCTAAGTCAGTGACTTTCTTAAATACTTAATTCTCAGTTGCTCGATTTAACCCTGTTTGTTTCATGAAAGGTAAGTAAAAGTGCATGGTAGTAGTATTGCATATGATTGTTACAAAGACTCCTTGGATAATGTGTAGAGATTTGAGCATCAGAATGATTGATTACAGTTGAATAAAACCTGTTAATTACTTAAAAAACACTCTGTGTTTATACTAGCACTTAAATGTTGGGGGAGGCTCCTTGTTTGTTTTCTAGCCACCCAGACTCCCCAAATAATCACTCAGAAAACTATGTTAATTAAAATCACTGCTTGGTCAATCACTTAAGTGTCTTTCTGGCTAATTCTTATATCCTAAACTAACCCATCTCCATTAATCTGTGTATCACCTTGTGGCTGTGGCTTGCTGGGTAAAGTTCCATCCCTAGCATCTGTCTCTACTGGGGCTTCATGGCATCTTGCAACTCGATCTTCTTTCTCCCAGCATTCAGTTTAGTGCCCCCCTCCAGCTCTACCCTGCCCTATCACAGGCCAAGACTGTGATTAACCAATAAAAGTAACACATATACAGAAGGACCTCCCACATCATTTCCCCTTTTCTGTTTAAATAAAAAGGAAGGTTTTAACATAGTAAAATTACATATAACAAAACAGGTATCAAGCAAGAATTATAGTTACAATGCTTATATCTACTTTATCTTTTATCATAACTAAAGAAAACTATAATTATAACTATCTATTGTTCAACTCCATTAAAGACTCCAGAAGGATATAATATTCCCTAAGTAAAACAGAAGTACATTGTAAGCAACTTCCAAAACTCTAGAATTGACAGAGACATCTCACTGCCCAGACAGTCATCCAAAATTTTTCTGTACCATTGGAGCATCCATCTTCAGCCTACAGGTCCATAATATCTAGCAGACTTTTCCACGAAGCCAGAAATTTCAAAGACAGTTTGGCCTATATTGTCAATTTGTCAGTCACTTTTTTCTGTATCCTGTAGAATGTCTGGCAGTCTCTTACATGAAGCAGGAACCCTTAAGGACTGTCTCACCTTCTTTAGGCGACTTTAGCAGTCATTTTTCTGTGGATCCTGCATATCCAGTTCATACAGCATACCATCAAGCAATCCAGGCAGGAGCAGTCTCTTGCCCAAATGGCCAACAAACTCCGTAAGGGGCCTCTTTGGTGCCAATCATCCTCTTGAAGTAGATTGGTGCTGCCAGAAGCAGATGAATCTTACTGTCATGAAAATTCTCAGTTTTTAAAACATTTTAAATGCCATATTCCATAGATCTTTGAAAGGTTTGAAGATTATCTATCTAACTGAAAAATATCTTTATATATCTAGAAAACCTAACTAATGTGACTATAAGCTTGACTGTTATAGATGATTATCTGTTAACCTGTATTCCTTAATTATACATTACATTTTTAAATGAGCTGAATAAACACAACACCTTAATCAAGAGCAGAAATATACATATAACAAAATTGACCTTAAGTTTGAAATAATAAACCAAGATCCATACCAATGCAAATCTCTATATTACTTAAAGGAAAAGGAAATTACAACACTAATTTGAGTATAGTTGACATGGCTGTCAAAATATCATTTTGTTCTGAAAATTAACAAAGGGGATTCACTTTTTAGAATTATTTTTTAAATTTAAAATTTATTTTATGTGCACTGGTGTTTTGTCTACATGTATATCTTATATCCTTAATCTCTCCAAGACCTTTAAGAAAGGGTGTTGGATTTTGTCATACACTACAGCTTAAGCCACAGACTGACCCTCACACAGTGATAGTGGGAGACTTCAATACCCCACTCTCACCAATGGACAGACATTCAGACAAAAACTAAACAGAGAAATGCTGGAGCAAATTTGTATAATAAACCAAATGGACCTAGCAGATATTTACAGAACATTTTACCCAAACACAAACAAATATACCTTCTTCTCAGCACCTCATGGTACTTTCTCCAAAATGGTCCACATACTCAAACCCAAAACAAGCTTCAATAGATAAAAAAAACTTAAATAACTCCCTGAATCTTATCAGAATGCTATGGATTAAAGCAAAAGGAAAGAAACTCAAAACAATTCTACTAAAATCAAGAACAAGACAAGGCTGTCTACTCTCCATATCTGTTCAATATACTACTTGAAGTTTTAACTAGGGCAGTGAGACAACTGAAGGAGACCAATGGGACACAAATTGGAGAGGAAAAAGTTAAAGTATCATCACTTGTAGGTAATATGGTAATATATATAATCATTTACTTTATATTGTAAAATATATTATATTCATTCATACAATATAAAAATCATATATGTGCATACACACACACATATTCATATATATGAAAATTCCACCGTGAACTCCTACAGCTGGTAAATACTTTCAGCAAAGAGACTGGACACAAGATTAACTCAAAACCTCAGTGGACCTCCTAAATACAAATGACAAATGGACTGAGAAAGAAATCAAGGAAACAATACCCTTCACAATAGCCTCAATTCCAGGCACACATAGCCTCTCACAACTGTCTGTAACTCCAATTCCAGACATACATGCAGACAAAACATCAGTACACATAAAATAAATTTTAAAAATAATTTTTAAAATGTACACAAAGATCTAATTCTTCTTCCTTTGGAAATTTTCAAAATGAAATGATGTTTTGATAGTCAGGTCAACTATACTCAAATTAGTGTTGTAATTTCCTTTTCCTTTAAATGCTAGTATAAACAGAGTTGTTTTTCAGTCATTAACAGGTTTTATTCAGTTGTAATCAATCATTCTGATACTCAAATCTCTAAACTTTGCCAAGTACTCTTTATAGCAATCATGTGCAATATCACTACCATGCCCTTTTACTAACCTTTGATGAAACTAAGACAGGGTTAAATCAAGCAACTGAGAAGTAAACGCCTAAGAAAGTCAGTGACTTAGGTCGCTCAGAAATAACTCCAATCAGCAGTTGGATACACACTCAGAGAGTAGGGACATATTTAGATTTTTTTTAAAAGCCATTTCCCCTGAATGTAGCTCAGTTCAAGGAAACAAATAGTTCAATGAGCAAATTAATAATAGTGTCTAGTTTTGACACAAAAATCACCCAGTAGTTCTCAGCCTTCATCACATTTATTTATCTGGGCAGTAGGCGGCGTGCCGTGGTTTGCATATGGAGACTAGAGAACAATTCATCAGGAGTTGGCTCTCTCCATTTCACCATGTGGGTCCTGAGGCTAGAACTCAGGTCAGGGGCTTGGCAACAAGCATCCTGACCTGCTGAGACATCTCACCAGCCAACCCATCATGGACGAGTCTTTTTTAAATTATTTATTTTTATTCCGTGTGCACTGGTGTTTCTTTCCTGCATGTATGTTGCTTGAGAGTGTCAGATCCCCTGGATCTGGAGTTACAGACAGTTGTGAGCTGCCATGTGGGTGCTGGGAATTAAATCCAGGTCCTCTGGAAGAGCAGCCAGTGCTCTAAACCGCTGAGCCATCTCTCCAGCCCTAAGGCATTTTCCTAATTGAGGCTCCCTCCTCCCAGATGACTTTAGCTTGTTGGTCAAGTTGACATGAAGCCATCCAGCACAAATACAGGGCTAGAAAACTGGATATCCACACAAAGAAGAACGAAGCTTGATCATTCTCTTCCACCCTGAACACAAATCAGCTTCAAATGAAAGAACTCAATGATAGACCTGGAGTTCTGAAACAACTTCTAGAAGAGAAAGTAAGGAATACCTTTGAGGATGTAGACACGGGTGAGGACTTTCTGCCTAGGACTGTGGGTGCCCATGAAACACGACCAACAACCAACAAGTGGGACTTAGTGAGAGCAGTGGCTCCTGAATTGTAAGGAAACGTGATAGACTGGAGAGGCAGCCTACAGAGTGAGGGGGGCATCTCTGCTCGGTACACGTCTGGCAGGGAGTTTGTTTCCAAAACATACAAGGAACTCAAAAAGCTGAACGCCTTAAATACAAACAACCAAGCTAAAAACTTGGCGGTGGAACTAAGCAGAGTTCTCAGAAGAAGAAATACGGAGAGCTTAGAAAATATCTTTAAAGCGGTTCGCCATCCTTAGCCATTAGGGAAAGGTAAATTAAAACTACTTTGAGGTTTCATTTTCCCTATCCAAACCAGCAAAGATTAAGAAAGCAAAAAACAACAAACGCTGACAGGACGTGGGGAACTGGGAACCCTCCTGCACTGTGGGAGTAAGAAATGGTTCGTCCGCTATAGCAATGTGTGGGAATTCTTTGGAAAGCTAAAAATATATCTACCACATGACCCAGCTATAACCAAAGGCTTCGATTCCTACTACAGGGACATATGCTCATCCATAGTCAAAGTTGCTCTATTTACTGTAGCTGGATGAGGTAGTTTGAATGAAAATGACCCTGACAGGTTTATATATAAATGCTTAGGGAGCAGCGCTACTTGAAAGGATTAGGAGATGTGGCCGTGTGTGACAAAATCATCTCTGAAGTAAGCTTTGGGGCTTCAAAAGCCCAAGCCAGGCCCAGTGTGGTGTGGCTCTTTCTGCTGCCCGCAGATCTGAATGTACCACTCTCCGCTCCCATGTCGGCCTGCTTACTGCCATGCTCCCTGTCAGGAGGATAATGGACTAAACCTCTGAACCTACAAGCAAGCCCCAATTAAGTGTTTTCCTTTATAAAAGTTGCCATGGTCTTGGTGTCTCTTCACAGCAATAGAACATGGGCTAAGACACTGGGACAAGGAAACAGCCTGCATGTCCTCCAGCAGGACCTGAGTAATGAAAATGTGATACCTACATACAATGGATGTCATTCAGCTGTAAAGAAAAATTAAATTACATTTGCAGTTAAATGGGCAGAGCTGGAAAGCATTATACAGAGTGAGGTAACCTTATCCCAAAGACAAACACTTATACCATATATATTGACCTTGGAGTATCCATAGAATCCAGCATCTAGAAAGGAAGGGTTGACGGGAAGAGGAAGTGAAAGCTTACAGAACAAAGATGGTGAGAAGGGAGCAGAGGGAATGATACAGAGAGGCATTTACACAGAGAGAAGGATGGGAAGAATGAGAGATGAAATGACTAAACATATATAAAAATCTTTATTTTTTTTTCCAATTAGAGTTACCCTACAGAGGGGATTATGTTCCTTCTGCAACCCATGGGTTGCCAGATTAAAAGCCCAGCACCAGATGTGGGATGCTTCCTCTTGAGTTGTTGATTAGAGGTATCCCAGAGATCCTGCCCCCACACAACAATACAGACTGGAATTATTGCTATGGCTTGCCCACCAGAACTTAATGGTAAAACATTATTGTTAAAGAAACCATACTTGTTGGTTATAGGACATGGAGTACATCGACACGGTTGACTGGTTCAAGCAACTGACAATGGCTGGCGAATTCAGGAAGTGGCAGGCCCTCGATATGACTTCATAAACCACCTGGGATCTGTGAGTCACAGATTATATGGCTGAAGAATGACTTGAGCCTCGGATTATATTGCTTGAAAATGACTGTTTGCTTCCATAATTATTTTTCTTAGTAAGATACCATATGATTATTTAGGGTTCCACTTACTCAGTCAAATGACGAGCACATTCTGTAAACAGAGTTTGTGGTTTTCCTGGAATAATTAACCACACATTTACAATCTCTTGGCTTATTAACAATAGATGGCTATACTCCAGTCTGTTGTGTATTCGTTTTGCTAGTTTACTCTCAGAAATGTTGAATATGTCTAGACTAATTAATGACACATTTGTAGCCTGGTAGTTTATTAACATAAACAGTTTATCAAACCCGCCATGTCAAGTCAGTACTTCAGCTGTCTTTCCAATATTGTGATCAAAGAAGGTCGACTCCCCCGTCTCTTTCTCTCCTGTAAAACCAACAGCGCCCTCTTTCACCCTTTATTCTAGCTCTAAAGTCACTCTGCTAACATTTTCTTGTTTTTCAAAACTAACAGCGACCAAATCTTGTATACATCACGTAAAGATAATACTCAAGACTGCATTAAAATACAATTACTTCATTTACTACTTTTCCACTATAATTCCCTCAAAGAACCACCTTGAAAAGTCACACAAACACTTGGTTGGAGGGCTGAAAGAAATCTGCAAGACCGCCTTGTCCACTGTAGCTCAACAAATAAGGAAACCGAGACTGTGAGATTTGAGCTGGGGTCTGGGGAGACAGAGGACAGCCCCGGGTGGACCTCTTTACGAGCTGTCCTCCTTATTTGTGACACAGGATCTCCCTCTGGCTTGGAACTTGCCAAGAGGGTTAGGCTGGCTGGCTAGCACACCCAAGGGATCTACCCGTCTCCACCTCCCTGGTGCTGGAATTACAAGCCCAGATCACCACACCCAGTTTTTGTTATCTGAGTTCTAAGGAACGGAACCCTCACGCTTGAAAGCTAAGCACATTACCAATGGAACTGTCCCCCAGACCAGGAGATCAACTTTTCTTCCTTTTCTTTTCTTTCCAGACGTTTTCACTTTATTTTTCTGGTATAAAAGCCCTATGTGGTGGCCATAGGTCCTAGGTCCTCTGAACTTAGTTAGCTTCTACTGTGGGTTTTCATAAAACGGTCAGTGATTTTCCAATGAGGAGACTTGGTCAATATCAACTCTTGCCCAGCGTTGGGGAGGGGGACAGACAGGTAGCTTTAGGTCTTGGAGATGGCACAAAAGGCGGCCTTGTCAAGTTGCCGAGGTGGCAGTGTAATCCCTGGCCAATGTGTAGCAGTCATCAATACCGGCCATCAGCAGCAGTCTCTTGGGTACAGGAATAGAGACAATGCCAGTGCCTCTGGGGACAGGGATGAGACACATCAGCACAGAACCACACTGGCCTGTCACCTTGCATGGAACAGTTATGGGCTTGCCAATCTTGTTGCCCCAGTAGGCTCTCTATGTAAAAATGACAGCAAAGGCTTTATCCTTGGAGCACTTAACACCGTGATCAATATGACCATTGTGGTCCCTAATACTGACAAGAACCCTGAGCTTGGTCTTCTGGCTGGCCAAGTCTGGTTCTGCACAGGAAGTCTTTACAATCTCACCCTTTAGGAATGCTCCCAGGAACAAGGCAATCATCTTGGATTCCCTAATGGGCAAGAAGAAAGGTAGATCTCTACATCTCTTCCAGTGACTTGGTCTTCCTGTTCTTGACCAGGTGGTCCAGCTTGGTGATGGGAATCTACTGTTTGTCTTCAGCTTTGCCTGCACAAGCCCTGTGGTCTCACCCACAGCCATGGCTACAGTCACAACTGCCTGTGGCCTCTAAGACCACAGCCCATCCCTCTGCAGAAGCTTGCCTCATCCCCCATTTGGTGTTTTCCCAAAGAATGAGTTTGATTTTCTAATGATCACGTGCCCAGCTAATGGCGGAGGATGAACCAGAGCCCAAATCTTTGCAACATCGTGTTCCTCAGCGGAATCAGACTCCATTACAATGACTTCTTAGAGTTTGCCAAGTTCAATGCCTGAACTGTGTCATCAGGAGCCACCTCAGGCTCAGGACATGGGGTGAAATGGTAACTATTTATTGTTACAGAATTAACTCACCATTTCATAAGTTTTCTGAACTCTCCTCCAAAAATCAAATATGTTCTCCAGTAGTCCAAATCTGTAGTCAGAAGACAATCTTCCACCCATTCATTTGTCAATTTGTCAAACATTTACTGTACTGTTGATTATGTCAGTAAATATCATGCTTGCTAAAGACACTGGGTCCATGAAGCACACAGTCTAGCAGAAGGAGACAGATAAACCAAATATGGGCCAAGACTAAAGACTAATATTCATTATGTGGTTAGCATATATAGACATCTTAAATGAATTTTCTCATTTAACTATTCTTGACAATACTGCATGATTTGTAACCATTCCACAGACAAGGAATATGAGGCTTGGGAAGTTTAACCATAACTCAGGCTGATATAATGAGGCAATCCCATACTACCATGTTTTTCTCTGGATTCCAATATGATACTGCTTAAAGTTTAGGCAGAAACAAAAACACAGGGACTCTTGGGAGAGAGCTCTTATTATGGAAAATGAGTGGATGAACAGGGATAACTAAAGTGATATGGGCTGTCCTTCTGTATAAGTGTTGCTTTTATTGGTTGATGAATAAATCTGTTTGGGCCAATAGCTTAGCAGAGTAAAGCCAGGCAGGAAATCGGAATAGAGATATATAGAGAAAGTAGGTAGAGTCAAAGAGACACCATGTAGCTGCTGAATGAGAAAGGTATCCACTGGAACCTTACTTTACTGATAGGCCACAACCTCATGGTGATACACAGATTAATAGAAATGGGTTAATTTAAGATGTAAGAGTTAGTAAGAAACTTGAGCCATTGGCCAAATAATGTTGTAATTAATACAATTTCTGTGTGATTACTCAAGTCTAAGCAGTTGGGAAACAAACAAGCAGTCTCCACCTACACTAAAGGATACATTAGAGACATCATTTTGGAAGAAATCTTAGGAGCAATAACAATCTTACTAAGACTGGAGCATTGATGGACCGGGGCAGGGGAGGGCGACAGGAGAAGGGCCTAGAGAGGTGGATAGAGTAGTAGAGCATGCATGTTTACGGTTTCAGGGTCAGGTGACAGATCAGGTGTGCTTCCTGGACACGGACAGTCCAATTTGAGCACAGTGAGAATGGAGGGTTACAGCCAAGCAAGTTTATGGTTAGAGAGCTGGGCCAAAGCTCTTGGGATTGACCTTGATGAGATCCCGGACTGACAGCAAGGAGGGGAACAATTCAGGAGTTATTTCGAAGTTAGAGTCAATGAAACAAGGTGATGAGTTGAATGACTCAGCAGGTAAGAGCCCTGGCTGTTCTTCAAGAGGACTTTGGTCCAATTCCTGGCACCCAAATGCCAGTCTGCAACCACCTGTAACTTCAGTCCCAAGGAAAGCAACACCCTCTTCCGCCACATTTGTGGCATCAGACATACAATGTAGGCAAAATACTCAAATACACAAAGAATAACATAAAAATGAAGGTTTTTTTAAAAGATTTCAATATATAGAATTAACTTATTCACCTTCAGACCAAGAACAATTGTGTTCTATGTAGACTTCCACTTGAGACTGTTTTACACTGAGTCATAGCCCAACCCCCACTAATGAACTTTCCTCTCACCAGATCCTATCTGCTTTTTGGAACAAAGTAGAAAGTAGAGAATGTGGAAATAAACTTATTTACCCACAGCCCTATCTTATCAGCACTTGAAATCTCCATGACCTTTGAATAAGAAGTTTCCAAAACTGCCATGAAAGACCGCAAGTCATTTTGTCAAGCAAAGTTATCATAGTAAAATATCAATAAGTAGAGTGCTTACCTACCTTGTTAGAGACCCCGGGTTCAATCCCCAGTACTGCCTACAAAACCAAACCAAACCACGACGGCTTAAAATGTGGCACAGTTGGTAGGCTGCTTACCTTGCATGTGTGAAGCTCTGAGTTTGGTCCCCAACATCATATAAATCTAGTGTGATGGCATGTGCCTAGAATTCCAGCCCTCAGGACATGGAGACCGGAGGGTCAGAAGTTCAAGGTCAGCTTCAGCTACTCAGTGAGTTGAGGCCAGTCTCTCTCTCTCTCTCTCTCTCTCTCTCTCTCTCTCTCTCTCTTTCTCTCTCTCTCTCTCTCTCTCACACACACACACACACACACACACACACACACTTGTGCCAAGCAAGACAGTATTGTGGAAATTCCCTGAGTGATTATTCGCTTATTTGCTAGATTTCATTCCCTTTCTGGCCGGCACCAGTCCTACAGTAATAATGAAAGCAGTGGCCCTTAGACTCAACTCCTGCCAAGGAGCCTGTGGTTTAATAAGAAATACCAAGAAACGAAAGAGACTGGAGACACAGACGAAAAGAGTGCCAACAGGGATTAGCTCAGGTGCTGGGGCAGGACTCAGGCCTGCAGGCAGAGTGCCCTGCTCGCCAGCACCAGGCTAAGTTCCCAGGAGGCGGCGTCCGACTAGGTTATGGGTGGTTAGGGGAACAAGGCAGGGGCAGAGAGGTTTGGTTGCAGAGGGTTTTCTATGAAGTAGTATCAATGTACACATGCAATGTACACAAACAGCTGCAGCCCCTGGATCCCAACTGCCTGTTTGAGTCCGAGATCTGCCTCTTATCATGTGATTTGGGGTCGTTTGCTTCTAGGGTTAACACATCTTCAAATGGGAATAGCTGTATTTTTACAAAGTGTCGCGTTTAAGTTAAGCGAATGTAAACTCATTTGGGGAGTTTAGAGCAAGCTCATAGTAAGTCCTAATAAACTTTAACAAGTGACACTGCTATAAATGTCTTTTTTTTTTTTCCAAGACACACAGGAAAGCCTTTTGCACAGGGCTTCTCTGTGCAACCCTGACTACCCTGGAACTCACTCTGTAGACCAGGTTGGCCTTGAACTCAGAGATTTTCCCCCCACCACCACCACCTCTGCCTCCCGAGTGCTGGGATTAAAGACGTGCACCGCCACTGCTGGGTTATAAATGCTATTTGATGTCTTTATTTGTTGTTGTTGTTGTGTTGAGACAGAGTCTGACTGTGTGATCTTCTTGTCTCAACCCCGTGAAAACTGGGATTAGGATTACACATAGGACCCAACATGGCAGGGAAGGAAGGAAACATGAAAAGCTGGAACATGAAGGACCAAAGCAGGAACATGACGCTGGCCACATTGCACCTGCAAATATCAGAGGACAGGCAGGAAAGACGGCTCAGCAGGTAAGTGTATTTGCCGACCTGAGCTCGTGCCCTGGAACCCGCATAAAAACCTGGATGTGGCCGGGTAGCCTGGAGTAGGAAGTGCCCCACCGGAAGCAAGAAAGACCCCGCCTCAACAAAAGAGATAGGGCAAATTAACTCCTAAAAGTTGTCCTCTGAGCTCCACAGGTACACCATGGCACATAAGCACCCGTGAGCTAATGTTTCAGAATAAAATAGAGAAGCAGGGCACTGCCAATGAATACTAGAGCTCCGCTCTCTGCGTCCTCTGCTGTTCCAGGATCCCTTGCCCAGGGAACATTCCCATCCATGGTCAATATGACTCCTCCCACATCAATGAATATAACCAGGAATAATCCTCCAGGGAAATGCCCAAAGGTTCATCTTCCAGCTGAATCTAGAATTCAGTCAAGTTGACAATTAACACCAGCCATCATGTAGGAGGAGGCCGCTAGTTAGTTCTTGGCCGCTTAGCCCCGAAATAATCACACAGAAACTGTATTATTTAAGTCATTGCTTGGCCCATTAGCTCTAGCTTCTTATTGGCTAACTCTTACATATTAATTTAACCCATCTCCATTAATCTGTGCATCACCATGAGGTCGTGGCCTACCAGTAAGGTTTCAACACATCTGTCTCTGGCGGTGGCTCCATGGCTTCTCTCTAACTCCTTCTCCTTTCTCCCAGCATTCCATTTAGTTTTCTCCACCTAGCTCTGTTCCCCTATAGCTCTTCTATGGGCCCAAAGCAATTCCTTTATTAACCAATGATATTCACAGCGTACAGAAGGGAATCCCACATCACCATCACGTGGGGATCTCTCTCTCTCTCTCTCTCTCTCTCTCTCTCTCTCTCTCTCTCTCTCTCTCTC